GTGTGGACATTATATGGATTATATTGCCCTATGTGAGCCATTTTTCTTTTAGAAACTCATCTGGATAAGGTTTATTTTAAAGTGTATGTATATACTTCTAATATTACACTTTTTATATGCTGTGCACATACGTGTTGTCACAATTCATATTTACAGTATAGAGCGCTAACCACCATTTTTTGTTCTGTTTGCTATTCAGAATAAATATTCACCTGCCAACTGCAAGATGTAGAATTTGTGCTGCAGTGGATGTAAAACATCCGCCAGGCCAATCAACCATTAAGTTTACAGGAGTTTGCCAAAAAGCAAAAACGTACAGGTTTATCAGCTAAATTGCTTTATCAATGCGTTCGCTAGTCATTTCGCTAGCTCAATGTACAGATGAAATTTACACTTGGCATGGAAGAGTCCTTTTAAGTCAGTAGTTCTTAACCCTTTTTTGGACAGAGACCCAAATTATATACATTAACTTAGTATGGTGACGAGTCTACATTTGCTAAATGAACACAGTGACCCATTCTTTTAGAGTAATATAATTTATATTAAAGTACATTTTGCAAGACATCTTTATTAGACTCTTCATAATGTCACATGGTATCTCCATCTCATTGTGCAATGCAATGCCACTACAGAAGAAACATATTGTGGGCAGCTGCGAGGTGCATCATGAACAGGAGGTGCAAGTACCAACTATTTGGGACCCAGGATAACAGCATGTGGGCACAAAGAGGACATACAAACCACTCCTTTAAGTATTACCTTTATGTCATAAGATTGTTTAAAAGTTCTAATTATATTAATTTGTGGAGAAAACTAGTTCTGTATACGTACATCAGCAGTGATGTCATTAAATTTGGTAATGAAGGCATGCTTTACAACGTCCACTGCAATCTCAGATGCAATTACCATGCACACGTCAGGAAACAACACCCATAGGTGGTCTAAAGGGGAAGGAAGGAAAACAGATGTATAAATTTATTGTAAAAACGTGTTCAAATTCTTCCATGGTTTACCCAATCCATCAATCTTGTTATTCCTGTAATACACAATGCTTTACTCAGCAATACGCCCATTACTTATTTAAACACGATTAAAATTACCTATGCAATTCCCTTCATACGAAGCAGGTTAATTTAACTTCTTTATTTTAGGGGATTTATCTATCAACTGAAAACTGAACCGTGAAATTATTACCCGGATTCCAAGAGAACTGTTCCATGTTCCGTAGACACACAATCAGCAGCAGAACATAATTGGTGAAGCGCTCTTTTATATCTGCAAGAGAAGGAAAACTGTCAACACATGCTCTAGTTATTATGCCTCATATAAATGAGTGACAAATGCACAAGCTGACGCTTTCTGAAATATTGCACGTCAGCAGATTTGCATAATACTTCATGTTACTGATACAGCAAAAATAATTCACAACAAAACAAAGGAAAAAAAAAAAATAAGTGTGTTACAAGAAACATTGTTTCTCAAGCTAGAATTGATAATCTGGGGGAAATGGATGCATTTGAAAAAGAATTGCATTTCTAAGAGACACAGGTTTTGCATTAAAGTTTATCTCTACTTTAGAATCATAAAAAAATAAATACTGAAATCAAAATCATAAAGACACACAGAAATAGGGCGTAGAACAAATCAAACTGCCAACTAGATTAAAATATCAGCTGCATGGTCATTCTAGGACTACGCATGGAATGCATTGAATACGTTTCTGTCTTTGCAATATGGTTTGTCCCATACTGAAATGCCATGTCTGATAAAACAAATTTAAAGAAATTTAAAATAAAAATGGTTAGTAATTATAAATAATGGGAATACTCTTGTGTATATCTTAGTTCCCCTTGGACTGCTAAGGATGACTCGATTGATTTAATCATTTACAGGAGACATACTTTTCATTATTTTATGCTAGTGAACAAATGGTCTAGAAATCCAGTAATCTCTACATAACTGCAGTTAGTCATTTGTTTTTATACACACAATTTTGATTTAAATACATGTCACGTTCCTGGCACAACGTGTTGGTGTGTCTGTGAATGCAGGGATGATTGTGTAAGAGTGTTTTAAATTTAGGACTGTATTTGTGTGAATGCAGGGGTGTATTTGTGTAGAGCATTTGTGTGAATGCAGTTGTGTATGTGTGAATGCAGTTGTGTATGAGTGAATGCAGTCATAGGCGTGCGCACGGGGTGTGCCGGGTGTGCCTGGGCACACCCTAATCCCCGCGGCACGCCTATGTATATTGAGACCGGCAGGGGAGATCTCAGGATCTCCCCTGTCGGCTCATGCAGAGCCGGCGCTATCTGAGCGCCGGCTCTGCTCTCAACCTCCCTCCCCACTGACCCACATGCAGGGAGCGAGGCAGGAGAGGACCCGGCGGAGCTATTGCCGGCAGCTCCGCCGGGTTCCTCTTGCGAGATATGAGCGTTGCCACGGCAACGCTCAAATCTCGCGAGAGTGAACTCTAGCCCCACAGGGGGCTAGAGTTCACTCTCCACTGGACCACCAGGGATCACAGCAGCAAGGATCCCCTCCTCCACTGGACCACCAGGGAAGGAAGCAGCAGCACGATCCCCCTCCCTACAAAAGGTAAGAAGGGAGGGGGGATAGCAAGTAATGTACCCCCACCTCCACCCCCCACAATCACCCACCCACACACATACAACACACATACAGCACCCACACACATTCAGCACGCACAGACACACATTCAGCACCACACACATTCAGCACCCACAGACATACAGCACCCACAGACATACAGCACCCACAAACATACACAGCACCCACAGACATACACAGCACCCACAGACATACAGCACCCACACACATACAGCACCCACACACATACAGCACCCACACAGCACCCACAGACATACACAGCACCCACAGACATACACAGCACCCACACATATTCAGCACCCACAGACATACAGCACCCACAGACATACAGCACACACACACATTCAGCACCCACACACATTCAGCACCCACAGACATTCAGCACCCACAGACATACAGCACCCACAGACATACACAGCACCCACACACATACAGCACCCACACACATACAGCACACACACACATACAGCACACACACATACAGCACACACACAGCACACACACAGCACCCACACACATTCAGCACCCACAGACATACACAGCACCCACACACATTCAGCACCCACAGACATACACACAGAAGCACCCACACAGACATCTAGCACCCACAGACACAACACAGCACCCACACAGCATCCAGCACCCACATTCAGCACCCACACACATACACAGCACCCACACACACACACAGCACCCACAGACATACACAACACCCACAGACATTCAGCACCCACAGACATACACAACACCCACACACATTCAGCACCCATACACAGCACCCACACACATACAGCACCCACAGACATAGCACCCACACACATTCAGCACCCACCCACACACATTCAGCACCCACAGACATACACCGCACCCACACACATTCAGCACCCACACACATTCAGCACCCACACACATTCAGCACCCACACACATTCAGCACCCACACACATTCAGCACCCACACACATTCAGCACCCACAGACATACACAGCACCCATACACAACACCCACAGACATACACAGCACCCACAGACATACACAGCACCCACAGACACATACAGCACCCACAGACATACACAGCACCAACACACATACAGCACCCACACACACACACACAGCACCCACAGACATACACAGCACTCCACACAGCACCCACACACACATACAGCACTCCACACGATTCAGCAATCCACATACACACAGCACCCACATACACAGCACCCACACACACACAGCACCCACAGACATACACAGCACCCACAAACATACACAGCACCCACACACATACAGCACCCACATACATACAGCACCCACAGACATACACAGCACCCACACACATACAGCACACACACACATACAACACCCACAGACATACACAGCACCCACAGACATACACAGCACCCACACACATACAGCACCCACACACATACACTGCACCCACATACACAGCACCTACACACATACAGCCCCAGCACACATACAGCACCCACACACATACAGCACCCACAGACATACAGCACCCACAGACATACACAGCACCCACAGCACCCCACAGACATACACACAGGCACCCACAGACATACACAGCACACATACAGCACCCACAACACATACACAGCACCAGACATACACAGCACCCACAGACATACAGCACCCACACACATTCAGCACCCAGCTACAGACATACACAGCACCCACAGACATACACAGCACCTAATGCCATTATACACAGTGCACCCATTAATGATTCAGCACTCCACATACATACAGTAACTCCACATACACAGCACCCACACACATACAGCACCCACAGACATACACAGCACCCACACACATTCAGCACCCACAGACATACAGCACCCACAAACATACACAGCACCCACACACATTCAGCACCCACAAACATACACAGCACCCACAGACATACACAGCACCCACACACATACAGCACCCACATACATACACAGCACCCACAGACATACACAGCACCACACATACAGCACCACACATACAGCACCCACACACACATACAGCACCCTCACAAACACACACAGCACCCTCACACACAGCACACAAACAGCACCCTCACACACACACACAGCACACTAACAGTACCCTCACAAACAGGACCCTAACAAACACACACACAGCACACTACCAGTACCCTCACACACAAACAGCACCCTCACACACAGTTCATTAACAACACCCTCACAAGCGCACACACACACACACACACAAACAGCACCCTCACACACAGTACATTAACAGCATCCTCACAAGCACGCACACACAAACACCCTCACCCACATAGCACACTACCAGCACCGTCACACACACAACACACTAACAGCACCCTCACACAGCACACACACACACACACACAGCAGTGTGTGTATGTGTGTATATATGTGTATGTGTGTATATATATATATATATATGTATATATATATATACATATATATATATATACATACATATATATATACGCGGCGTGTGCTTGTGCTTTAGGGTGCACACCCTAATGCAATAGGCTGCGCCCGCCTATGTTGTAAGTAACATATGGGGGCATGGGATGCTTAGTTAAGCACAGCAGCTTGGTTAATCTAGTCAATTTATGTGTTTTTTAACTGTGATGTTGCTGTGCCGGTAGATTGGCCACAAATTAACTAGAATACAAAAATGACAGTGCTTTACAATTTAGATTGTATAAAAGCATGCCCTGTTATTTTAGTGATTAGGTAAGATAAGTGCATAAAGTTTAAGAATTAAATTAGCACATTTAGAAGAATGTTATTTTTCCAGAACTGTTCATATGTTACACTTTCAAAGCTCAGATC